AAAAAAAAAAAAAAAAAAAAAAAAAAAAAACTAATAATCTGAAATATTTAAAATGTTACTATAGGCAATAGATAGAAGTCCTAATCAGTTAAAACTAACTACCACTGCTATACTTAAAACTAACTAAAACTCAGTAACTGGGGAAAGAGGTCCAACCAGGGCCGGCCTGGTAGTGGCAAAGTGGTTAAGTTCATGCGCTCCGCTTCGGTGACCTGGGGTTCACAGGTTCAGATCCCGGGCATGGACCTATGCACCATTTATCAAGCCATGCTGTTGTGGCATCCCACGTATTAAATAGAGGAAGATGGGCACTGATGTTAGTTCAGGGCCAATCTTCCTCAGCAAAAAGAGGAGGATGGGCAACAGATGTTAGCTCAGGGCTAATCTTCCTCACCAAAAAAAAAATGAGGCTCAACCAAAGTCACAAATTAAGTCTACAGCACACGGCCTCCCCCTCCCCACCTGTGGTTGAAGAAGCAGCCTAACTCCATGCACTAAGGGGGCAAAAAGCAAAACTCTGAAACCCGGATTGTGTGCAGTCCTGGGTACATGCTGGAAGCTCTTCTGTCAAAATGAACTTTCTTTCACCCCGTATCTTGTTCTCTACTCTAGGAGGAAGGGTAGCAGGCTTCCTCGTATTGATTCCAGATAACCCTTCACAGCTAGAACTGTGAAAAACACCCTTTATATCTCATTCCTCCAGAATGAAATACTACCAAATCCTGCAGCTTCCATCATGGAATAAGTTCTTGGACGCCTCCGGACATCTACAGGTTAAGATGGCAGCAGAGTGACAGAGGTTCCCAGGGGCCACAGTGCTCCAGTGAAGGTCGGCCACACGCAGACAGTGGACGATGCGCCGTGGGGCCGGGGAAGAAAGCGTACAATCTCCCCCTCCACCTACTCGGAGATCGCCCTCAAGAGCTCCAAATGGCTTCCCTCTCTTCTGCAGAGTCTCTCCCTGCCGTTAAACCCAATGTGAAGGGCCAGGTGCTCAGATCCAACACCCAAGCCCTTATCAAGACCACAGAGAGGGGTCTCACCCCAAGAACCATAATTCCTTTGAGTTTTAAGAATATAAGTTTTCCCCTACCTTACTATACTTCTACTAGGCCTTTGAAAGCAAAGCCTTCCTCTCTCAGTGGAGCAGAGGGGCTGGTCAGCTATGACAGGACAGGGATGACACCGAGACCCCAAGCTCCCAGCTGCCTAGGAATTACCAGCTACCAGGGACTCCCGGCTGCACTTGTCCTGGGCTCCCTCTCGGTCTTTACCATCTCTGCCTGTTTTCCATCTATGGGTGTTAGGGGAATCCCAAATGCTATCAAATACCTAATTCAACAGATATTTAACCCCTTTTCTCCTCACTTCACTCCTTAGTGTGCTGGCTACAAAAGAATGTCTATGTCTGGTCTAGCCTCCATTCTCCTCAACAGACTTTTAGTCTGTTGCTTCTGCCACATATGAGTCTACACAGCCTGTCACCCAGTGGAGGGGAGAAAAATTATGCCGTGGGTATTAACACTAGCATGATTTTACAGCCTTTATTGGCAACATGCCCATATTCTACAAAATAGGGAGGTGGCTTGGTGAAAAAACCCTATCCTCAGTAAAATTAAGGAGGAAAATTAAGAGGCACTAAAGAATTTCCCTGCAATTCTTCTCACTGTGGAGAAAATGTGGAAGAGGTGTTTTTAAATATCTTGATCTCCAAACTTTAGGAAGAAATGTTTAAAACGTTTTAAAATGTTTTTTAAAATGTTTTTTAAAACGTTTTAAACTGACATAAAGTTGTAATTTTGTCCTAAAATTTTGTTAGTTTGCTTTAGATCACTGCTTCGCAATACTTTTTTGTTTGTTCATTTGTTTGTTTGAGGGTTTTGTTTTTGTTTTTTTATTGGTGTCATAATAGTTTATAACACTGTGAAATTTTAGTTGTACATTGTTTGTCAGTCACCATGTAAACGTCTCCCTTTACCCCTTGTGCCAACCCCTAGCCCCCTTCCCACTGGTAACCACCAAACTGTTCTCTCTGTCCGTGTAGCAATACGTTTTTGAGCATACAGATTATGACTTTTTAAAGTTACAGACACTGTGGAGTTGGTCTGCTGAACTGTAAGGCTCATCTTCATTAAGTTAAAGTATGCCTCACGCTTCTGTCCAATAACAACTCTCCCCCCCTTTTTTTTTCGGTGAGGAAGATTGGCCCTGAGCTACATCTATGCCTATCTTCCTCTATTTTGTATATGGAACACCGCCACAGCATGGCTTGATGCGCAGTGCATCAGTCCGCACCCGGGATCTGAACCTGTGAACCCCAGGCCCCAGGCCAACTTAACTACTACGTCACCAGGCCGGCCCCTCAACTCTCATTTTTTGAGCATTATTTTATACCAGGCACTGTGCTAAGCAATGCATACATCTCATTTTATCCCCTAAACTGCCCTGTGAGTTAAACACCGTTATTTTCCCAAATTTACAAATGAGGAGACTGATGATTAATAAGAGGAACTACCCGAGGTCACACATCTTGTAAGTGGCAGAACTGGGATTAAAACCACTGTTTCCAATGTTAAACTCTCCTCAGCCCTGCAGCATTCAATGCTTCCAGAGACGCTGAGATGAAAATCTCTGCAAAAGGTCTGGAGAACGTGTGTGTGTGTGTGTGTGTGTGTGTGTGTGTGTGTGTGTGTGTCTTGACTTTCCCCAATCTGGTTCCACGCTTCTGTGTTATAAAGGAAGTTACAATAAAACTAAGGTTACTACAAGAGGCTGAACTGAACAGCTGTCCCACTCCAAAGTATACACTATTCTCCATACCTACAACCAGGCATTCCGACACCTGCGTAGTGCCCTGGGAGCTTCTCTGAGGACTCTGGATGGGAGAGAGAGATTTGAGGAAAAGACTAAGAAGAGCCGTGTCTTGCAGTGTTGGGTGTGGTCCTCAAGATGAACTGTTAACTTAAGAGCAATTCTGGCTCAGTCTACCTTTTAGATCTAAAAACATAACTTCAGGTATTAGCACTAATAAAATATATTTTAGTCTCATTGAGACTTAGAGTAGAAGGAATCTGATGTTCACTGCAGGACAAAGTTTTAAGCATGACTTACTTTTTAAAGCCACACTTGGAGCAATACGATCAAAGGCGCCAGCCATGCTCACAGTCCCTGTCTGTTACTTACAGGCAGATTCTGAAAGAGTAACACAGATGAAAAGACTTACCTTTTCTTTAAATACTGCTTCATTCCATGCCTGAAGGTTTAAAATGCAGTCATTCATCATTTTTTCTTTGTACATGTTTATTTTCTCCTTTTCAATTACATCAGCATCACTAGTCAGAAGGAGGCACTTGCTACCTTTTGCTCTTCCTCTGCCTATCAGAAAATAAATATTTTATTTAGTGTCTTTGACTTAAAACTCTGATAACTCTGAGACAAGGTAAATAAAGGGAGAGGCGTATTCCCAAAACTCAACTCTGGTTCACTGAATCCCGCTTTCCAGGGCAGCTGAGTGGTTAGAGTGTGGATGCAAATGCAGGTGCACACCTGCACATCAACCCTGCGGATAAACGGGAGCCCACCTCCGCCTAGCTTCCTCGGGGTCTCCATGGTGAGTGTGACTGGACTGTACATTGTCAGGAATGCTGCTTTCAAGACAACCCAAAATGAACCCTCAGGATGACATTGTGAGAGCTCTGAGATGAATAATAAACAGATCCTCCCTCATGAGCCTTCTAGGAAATAGGGAATAAGTTATGTCCACAAGCACCAGAATATAGGTGGAAATGATGAGTGCTGTAGGAAAGACAGGCATAAAGGGTTATGGTCATTCAAAAGAGAGATTGTTGCCAGCTGGGAGAATTAGCAACAGGTGATATGGAGGCAGGGGAAGAGGTAAAACGAAGATCATCATCAGCGGGACATGAGCAATTCCTTCAACAAGGGAAAAACGAGGCAGTCCAGTTGGCTGAAGTGGATAATGAATAAAGGGGAGGAAGGGAAAATAAGGTTAGGAGGATGAGTGGGTGCTGGATCTTGAAAACTCTTTAACATCAAGAAAATTGGGGAACCGCTGGAGTTTCTATACAGGGAAGTGACATGCTCAGAGCTGTTTTTCAGGAAAAGTAATGCGGCAGCTGTTGTTACGGAAATTGGAAAAAGGAAGAGAGACTAGTTAGGAGACTATCTAGTTTAAGTGGCACAGAAGAACTCCTTGGAGTAGCTCTTCTATAATACAGGGGAGCCACCAACATCTAACACAACCACGAAAGGTCCCCACGTTGACTGCCAAAGCCTCAATCAAAGTTGGAATTATCCTTCCATAGATATGTCAGTCAATGCTCGTCAAGTAAACAGCATTCATTGTGAACAAGAATCAAGTAGGGTATATGTTAGTGGACAAAACTGTAGCCACCCAATCCTGACCAAGGGAGCCACCTTTAGAGCCAATGATACCAGAGTCCATTGTGCCACTGGTCACACACCCAACTATGGCCAGAGTCACAGACACACTCACAAATCAGACAAATTGGCAGCCCCTTAGCAATGGCATCAAAGCTTCTCTCACCTCTGGTTTGGATCATTTTGATGACATTGCCCACGTACTCATACAGGATGACCAGATTGCACTGAGCAATGTCGATGCCTTCATCAGCAACTGAGGTGGTGATCAGAATCCTGTTATCTCCATCGGTTCTGAAGGCATCCAATGCACACTTCTGTGCCGGGAGGGTCATTCCTACGCCAGAGTCAGAGGGCATTATACAACTCAGCACGGAGGGAACTCTACCCTTGAATAAACAGCTATTAATTATGCAATGCTTATCACATGCCAGGTGCTGTTTAAGCGCTTGGTACTCATGATGTCACAACAACCCTAGGCAGTAGAGCCCAGTATCCCTGTTTTAGAGAGGACATTTAGGGTGGTGTCTAACAACCTGGACTCTGCCACAAGACTGCCTGAGTTCAAACTCCAGCTGTGGCACTTACTAGCCATGTAGCTTCAGTCTTGTTAGCTCAGAAGAAATACTGACTTTTTTGCAAAGATATCAACAGCTAATCATAATGCCTTTGCACATGAATAGGAGTTTACAGCTGATAAAACATCTTCAGATCTACTTACTCACTGGCACTTCCCAAAGCCCTTTTAGGTTGATGCAGCCAGCACTGAGATTCCCCATTACGGATGAAGACCTCGAGGTTTGGAGGTATGGTAAACCGGCTAGTGGCAGAACCCAGCCCTGAACTTAAGTCTAGGACCCTAATAGTGTGCAGTTCTCGGCCACTGATAGACTAAGAGGAGAAAGAATTTCAGTGGTCTCCACCTCAGAGTTAACAGAATTTATAAAAGTTCCAATTTTTTCTAGTATATTGGCAGCCAAAATCTTGAGATATATTTTGTTAATACCAAAACAATTTCTTTTCACCATCATCTTCTACTGAACAATAAGTATGCCCAAGACAGACACCATGCTTCATTAATTTCTTTTTTTTTTTTTAAAGATTTTATTTATCCGCCCCCCTAAAGCCCCAGTAGATAGCCGTATGTCATAGTTGCACATCCTTCTAGTTGCTGTTTGTGGGACGCGGCCTCAGCATGGCCAGAGAAGCGGTGCGTCGGTGCGCACCCGGGATCCGAACCTGGGCCGCCAGCAGCGGAGCGCGCGCACTTAACCGCTAAGCCACGGGGCCGGCCCCATGCTTCATTAATTTCTGAACTTTTCATCCATTTGTTCCTCAAACATTTATTTATTTGTAATTCAAACATTATTCATTATGGTTTGTGAGAAAAGGATACAAGGGTTAACAGGTCCATTTTTATCCACAAGGAGCTCAGAGTTCGTGGAAGAAGGATATAAATAGGAAGCTGTAATCCAATGTGGTGAGCAATGAAATGGAGGCAGAACTGGATGCTGTGGGAATGTGGAGGAGGGACACCTCTACTAGGAGGTTGGGGAAGGCTGCTTGGCAAAAGCACAATGACTGGCACAGAATAAGTTCTAAACAAATGTGGGTGAGTGGATGGACAGATGGATGGATGGATAAATGAACAAATAAATAAGAAAATATTTTCTGAGTGCTTATTTGTGGAGTTTAAAAATCAGACTGGACTCATGTTAGAGTCAGATGGCAGAGAACTTTGAATTCCAACCACAATGATGTGGTGCTACACTTCATTTGGTAAGCCAAATTTTCAACATCTGAATTTACTTTTTAGATTCACAAGGTTTAAACTTTGCATAAGGGGAAAGTGCAAGGGTGATGGCTGGGGACTGACAGGGCGGGACAGAGTGAGGGCCCATCAGTGCCGGTCACTGAGGCATGGGGAGCACGGCTGTGGGAATGGAAGGAGGAGGGCTTGCCGCTGAGGGTCGTCCTGGAGGACCGCAGAAGCGGCCTTCATCCTTTTACCACCCAAGCTAGATTTCAAGATGTCTGCTTGGACATTTTTTTTTAATTGAAAATATATAATACACACAAAAACATCTACAGTTTAAACAATAACAATAAAATAGTCATAGAACATTTCCAGTTAATCTTAACCCATTGGTTGAGAATCTGAGCAGGATAGTGACATGCCCAAACAGTATTTAAAAAAATAACCTTGGTTTTGTCTGCAGGACACATGGGAGGAGCAACATCTACAAGGTTTGGCATTTGAGCATGTGATGGCTTTTGATGTGTTGACTTGGCTAGGCTGAACTACAGTCCTCACTTATGCATCCTGGTGCTTCTGTGAAGGGAATTTGCACATGTAATTAAAGTTCCTAATCAGCTGACATTACGTTAATCAAAAGGGATTTCATCCTAGGTGGGCCTGACCTAATCAGTCAGCCCTTTAAAAGAGGGCTTAGGCGTTCCCTGAGCTCAGAGACTCCAAAGAGCTCATGCCTGTGGGGTTCCAGCCTGCTCCTGACCACTTCAGCCTTGCTCTGCCAGTCCAATTGTGTATGCCAGTTCCTTGTGATAAACCCCTATGTGCGGGTACATACACACATAAAAAAGATATGTGGGTGTGTGTATACACTCCTACTGGTTTTGCTTCTCTGGTTGAACCCTGACTAATATAAGCATTAAGAAAGAATTTGAGTATACTACACATATTCTTATATATATACAGTATACTAAATCCAACTCACTATATATAAATACCTGTGTTACTACTTGTTTTGCCACGTCCAGTCAATATGCCAGGTCTTAGAAAACTCAGTTTAGGATTTTCTTCAATCCATTTCTTTAAAGCCTGAAAATGAAAAGCAATTATCAGTTGCACACTATTTGTATACCATCTGTATTAATTCAATATTGAAGTATAAGCAAGAAGAAAAAAAAAAAGTTAAGTTAGTATACAGACAGTTTTAAGACTGACAAACCTGAGAAAAAAGCTTCTTGAAATTGAATTCTATGCAATAATTAACTGTAATGGTATAGATCTTTGTGATCCGATGCAGTTTAATCTCTCAGATATTTTTTTAAGTGAAAAAAGTAAAGTTCAGAATAGTGGGTGTGCAGAACTAATAGGTGAGTTTAGCAAGATTTCAGGACACAAGATCAATATACAGAAATCAGTTGTATTTCTACATACCAGCAACAAACAGTTAAAAGTGCCTTTTATAGTAGCATTAAAAATTAATACTTAGATAGAAGTCTAACAAAATATGTGCAGAATCTGTATGCTGAAAACGGCAAAGCACAGATAAAGGAAACCAGAGAAGATGTGGTGGGAGGCCTGTGAGGTGGCCCTCAATGATCTCCACCCCTGGTACTCAGGGTCTTGTGTAATCCCCTCCCCTCAAGTGTGAACTGAACTTACTGACTTGCTTCTAACGAATAAAATACGACAGCCATGATGGGCTGTCGCTTCCAGGTGGAAGTCATACAGTGACTGTGACCTCCCTATCAGGCAGTCTCTCAGTCTCTCTTGGGTCACCGCTCTAAGGGAAGCCAGCTGCCATGTTGTGAGGCAGCCCTGGGGAAAGGCCCACATGAGTGAGCTTAGAGGCACATCTTCTAAGGCCTGCCAACAGCCATGTAATGAGGTTGGAAGTTGATCCTCCCAAGTCAAGCCTTGAGATGACCACAGCCATGGCCAGCACTTTGACTGCAGCCTCGTGACAGACCCCGAGCCAGAAACACCCAGTTCAATTGTCTCCAGATTCCTGACCCATAGAATTGTAAGATAATAGATGTTTGTTGTTTCCAGCCTTTAAGTTTTGGGGTAATTTGTCATCCGCCATAGATAACTAATACAGAAGCCCCACGTAAATGAAGAGATATACTATGGCCATGGATTGGAAGACTCCATATTGTTAAGATGTCATTTCTCCCGACTTTTATCTACAGATTCAATGCAATCCCAAATGAAATCCCAGCAGACTTTTTCATAGATGTGGACGAGCTGATCCTAAAATATAAATGGAAAGGGAAAGGAAGATAGCTAAAACGATTTTGAAAAAAAGAGAAAAGTTGGAGGACACACACTACCTGATTTCAAGACTTACTATAAAGCTACAGTGATCAAGACAGTGTGGGATGGCTGAAAGGACAGATGAATAGATGAATGGAACAGAACAGAGAATCCAGAAATAGATCCACACAAATACAGTCAATCGATTTTTGAAGAAGTTACAATGGCTATTCAAAAGAGAAAGGATAGTCTTTTCAACATACAGTGCTGGAACAACTGGATGTCCACATACAAAAAGAAAAAAAAGCATCTCAACCCATACCCAAAATGGACTGTAGATCTAAATTTTTTTCTTTCTTTCTTTCTTTCTTTTTTTTTTTTTTTTGGTGAAGAAGATTGGCCTTGAGCTAACATTCACTGCCAATCTTCCACTTTTCACTGAGGAAGATTAGCCTTGAGCTAACATTTGTGCCCATCTTCCTCTATTTTGTATACGGGATGCTGCCACAGCATTGCTTGATGAGCGGTGCGTAGGTCCACACCCAGGTTCTGAACCTGCAAACCCTGGGTTGCCGAAGCAGAGTGCATGAACTTAACCACTATGCCACCAGGCCAGCCCCTTGTGGACCTAAATTTTAAATGTAAAACTATAAAACTTCTAGAAGAGAACATAGAGAAAATCTTTATGATCTTTGGGTAAGTAAAGGGTTCTTAGATACACTATCATAAGCACAATCCACAAAAAGAAAAAATTGATAAACTTAACGTTGTCAAAAGTTAAAACTTTCAATCCATAAAAGATGTATTTTTTTATGAAAAGACCAGAAGAAAATATCTGCAAATCACATTTCTGACAGAGGACTTTTTGTCAGAACATAGAAAGAACTCTCAAGAACTCAACAATAACAGGATAAACAACCCAATTAAACCCAGTTTTAAAATGGGCACAAGATGTAAACAGACATTTCACCAAAAAAGATATATGTATGGCTCATAAGTATATGAAAAAACGCTCAACTGTATTAGCCATTAGTGAAATGCAAATTAAAACTCTAGTGAGACATCACTACCCAGCCTATAGAATGGTTAAAATTTTTTTAATTGATGAAAAGAATAAAAAATGTGAAGTGCTTGCTCTATAGGTGTCAAGACATTATAAACTAGAGTGATTAAGAGAGTGAGGTATTAGTGTAAGGATTAACAAACAGATCATCAGAACAGAACAAGAAGCCCAGAAACAGACCCCCACATATATGGATGCTTGATTGCAAAGCAGTGAGGAGAGGACAATCTTTTCGATAAAGTGGTCCTGCGTCAATTTGTTATCCAAGAGGAGGAGGACGCTTACATCCACAAGGGCCCTGGTTTTCGCAAAGAGAATGGTTCTAGTCTCCGGGTTTAAGTGGTACTCCTCTTGCAAGATGAAGCAGAGGTCTTGGAGCTTAGGGTTCTCGTTGCTGGGATCCATGGAAACACTTTCTAGTTCCTGCAGCTTTTCTGCAAAAGCGGAACATTTTATAAATGGCTTATGAATTCTAGAAATTTAGAACCTACTGTGACCTTTAGCTATAGTTCAAACAGTTAATCTCTCATTCTTTGACCAGAATTTTATGAGTAATAACCACTGATTTAATGCATACATTAAATACACTGATAAACGCATACATTTTTTCTCCCCAGAGAGCTGGTTATTCAGTGTTTAGCAGCACACCACTGGGTTACATGTGTATAGTAAATACTTTGGAATAGGCCAAAAAAAAACTATTAACAGTAATTATCTTTGAGAAAAGGAATTTGAGAGAGGGAGAAAAAGACTTGCTTTTCATTTAATATCTTCCTATATTTTTCATAATATGAGGTCAGTGGGATTATGGGCTATTTTGGTTTTCTTATTTATATAGAAGTATATATAGTCTTTTTAATATCATTAAAACACTTTTTTTGTATTTTTTAAGCCTTTACAAAATTACTAAAAATTAAACAAAAAAATGCAACTATCCATTGACTATTTCTACGGGATGTATCCTTTGCAAATGTCCCTATTTTTCTGTCTTCAAAATAGGAAAGGGTGTAAGCAGCAAATTCTTTCCATAAGTACCAGATTTCACTGCCATCGATAATATCTTCTTAAGCCCAGGACAGCTCCCTGAGCAGCACTGCATGCTAAGCATAATACAATGGAAGTGTGCTGCCCCTGGAGTCTCCAGGCTCCATGGCTTTCTCCTCTGGAAATACCACCCACCTTCAAATCTTCTAGTGAGATCTTGCTCAGTCTCATCAAATCCTGCCGCGCGGACATTATTGAAGAAGTCTTTCAAGTAATCCAGAGCATCTTTTATTCGTGCATGCTCACTGATAATGAGGGCATCATTATATTTCTGTTTAAAATGAAAACTGAGTTTCAATGTGTTTGTAATGTCTAAAGCATTCACTGTACGTAATTTCAATTAGCTGTACTTAGCATGGAATTAATTTCAAGAATAAACTTTTCTCAAATCTATTCCAACTTGGTTTTTTAAGATAAAAGTTCCCTAATGGTACTGTAATAAAACCTTGGAACCAAATACTGTAAAAAAAAAAATCTCAATTAGCTAGAATCATTAATTAATTAGAATCACTTTAGATTCTAGAATTCTACCTTGGAAGACAAAGAGAAAATTACAAGAAAAAAATGCATGTCAGAGATTAAAAAACAAAAAGCAAAAGAAGTCAACTTCCACGTCAGCCTGCCTCATAATCCAGACTTGCACCTTCATCTCTATACATCCAAAGCCATCAATGAATTGTAATTGCACCTGTTCAGAATGATGCACTGACCACATACACCAAATATTCAATTAAGTTCATTTAAATTCTATCAGTGCCTACCTGTTGAGTGCATTTTTAAATATTTTCAATGGCATGATAAGCAGAGGTGTTGGTTGTTGTTTCTTAACTTCTCGGTTAACCAGAAGGCAACCAGAGACCCTGGTTCTTACCCAAAGGTAAGAACACGAATGCTTCAGGATATGATAACAAGAGCCACTCACTGAACTTTAAAGATGGCTGCCACTGGTCATGTATCTACAGTAACATTTATCATCACCCAACTCTTTCCAGCCACGTCCACCATGGGAATGCTGGAGGCATGGCACAGAACCCCAGCCTTTCTGTCCTGTCGCTTTTATTCTTACATTTCAGAAAGCAGACAGAGAGGATGTTGAATGGGATAACTTTTGGAATTTCCTTCATAAGAACCTCCTGGAAAGTTCCTAATGAGCTCTTGGGGACAGGATGAAACGTGGATGTTCTCTCGGCTCCCAGTAGGTCTACAAGTGAAATAGGCCTTCCCAAGAAGCAACGTACCCGCAGATGAGAAGTGTACAGAAACAGCGCTTTACAAATCCTGCTCTCTTCAGCTTTGTCGGGCAGCTGAAACACCACGCACGCTTTCTGAACCGCAATAATCCATTGTTCATATTTCTGTGTTCCAAAATCCTGATTTTGAATGTGAGATAAGTTTTCTGGGGAAAAAAGGGTTTTTATTGTGCCATAAGGTCAGTCATGTAAGGTTTGAAGCTTGCCTCACCCTCTATTTTTTTCTTACTCTCTGTAAACAGAGTAGTCCTCCTGGAGGTCTGAGCTTCCAGCAGTGTATGCCTGTATGTACGTGACTATTGACTGAACACTCCTGTGCACCAGAATTGAAGTGCCTACAGTCATCATTTCAGTTCATTTTCACCACCCCATGAGGTAGATATTACAATCTACAGATGAGGAAACTGAAGCTCAGAAAAGCAAAGTAATTTACCCACAGTCACACAGCTAGTACGTGGGGGAGTGCAGGAATCCAGATCCAGCTGTGTCCCACGCCCAAGCCTCACTGGCTCCATGAGCTGACACCGAAGCAGCCCAGAGGTACAACAATGGACATGAAAAAATCTAACTTTGGAGGCAGGCCCTGTGGCATAGGGGTTAAGTGTACGTGCTCCACTGCTGGCGGCCCGGCTTTGGATCCCGGGCGCACACCAAGGCACTGCTTGTCAGGCCATGCTGTGGTGGTGTCCCACATAAAGTGGAGGAAGATGGGCGTGGATGTTACCTCAGGGCCAGTCTTCCTCAGAGAAAAAAGAGGAGGATTGTCATGGATGTTAGCTCAGGACTGATCTTCCTCACACACACACACACAAAAAATCTAACTTTGCCTTTAAAAATGAAAGAGCAGTGAGTAAAAATAATAGGTCTCAACAGAGGAGGCTATTTAAAAGCAGGAGAGACAGAACTCAACACGGCCTCTTCCACTGTGCTGTGAACTTAAGCCATCTGATCCCCACAGCACCTTCACAGGGCCACGCAGAGAACAGGCGCTCACAAGACACTTGTCACGGACACTTCGTACACGCACACCTCCCAAGCGATGCCTCTGTTGCTTGGGTCAAAAACTGCTCATCTGTTGTGGTCTGGGCTCTGTGCGGGGTGCTGGGGACAAAGGATGAGGAAGACACAGCCCTGTTCTCAAGCGACTCAGTCTGTGAGTTACTCTAGGATCAGCTCCCAGGGCTCCTCGGGAAGAGCACGGTACAACAAAATTCACAGGCGAGAGTTGCATTTCTGGGTTAAATTTCTCCCCTCTTCCACTCATTTTCATAAGAGGACAAAGGAGGCTGCCCAGACAAGTAGCGCTGATGCGCTTCCTTCCCAACCCCCGGTACAAAGGAGAAGGCAGCAGTGACCTAGACGGATCCATGTGGATTTACTGGACTTGGGTGGGTGTGAAAACAAGCTAAGCAATCTGGAAACGAGCAGTTGACAGGACCTGGACTGGCGGGAAGGTGGAGGTGGGTATCAGAGCAGGAGGAATAAGCAGGTAGACATTCACGCCTCCCACCCTCTGCCACCTCCCCAATTCCAACCAAGTCCTAATGCTCCTGGATAACAGGACGGCCTCCCAACTGCTCTCCCTATTTCCCATCTTGTTTCCCCCAATCCACTCCCCCCTCAGCAGCCAGGGGGAGTTTCCAAAATTGCAGATGAGAAGCTATGCTACCCCACTGCTTAAAAGCCCTTGTTGGATTCCTATGGCCAAACTCCCACCCGGCTCACAGGGTCCTCTGTGGTCCAGCCTCCGCCCACTTCTGCCTCTCATCTCTAGCTGCTCCCCCTCCTGCATGTTCCAGGGCTAACGGAGGTCCCCACCCTCTCTCTACTCTCCCAGCCTTTGTACATGCTGTTCCCTCTGTCTGGAGCACACCTTATCATCACCATCCCCCTACCCCACCCCTGGTTGCTTTATTATTATTACTTATCTAATTTGGGCTTTACTGTTAGACTGGAAACGCCACGAGGGCAGGAGCTGCGTCTCAGGGTCCAGGCTGTATTCCCATCGCCTGGCACACTGCCTGGCACTGAATGAAGGAACAAGGGAATGAACATGTTCAAGCAACTGCTAAGTCAGAGGATTCAAGTAGGGAAGGAGTGGAAGGCAAGACTGGAAAGGTAAGTAGCAGCAGATGTGCGGGCAGGGCGCAGACGGTCAGGTCAGAGGCTCAGAGAGCGCTGCCTGTAAGGTGAAGGGATACAGGCAGGATACTGACACCATAAGACCAGTATTTCAGGAAGACCAACCAGGCGATGGGGAGTGGAGGGAAAAGAGAGCGGAGGTGGGCACACCAGCTAGAAGGCTGTTAGGATAAGTCCTAAGTCAAGCTGTGCAAGAAAGGACAGAGAAAAGCAAAGTAAGAATGAGAGAAGGTGAGACCCCATGGGGTGTCTTACAGACATCACAGATTCAACATCTCCAGAACTCTGAACTCACCCTGTACCTGCCCAAGCTGCTCCTAGTTCTGGAACCAGTACCACCCACAGGCATATACACAGGTGAGCAAGCCAGAAGCCCGGGGGGAAGTCAGCCCACTCCCAGCCCTCTCTCACTCCCACCCAAATCCAGTTAGCCGTTAAATTGAACACTTGCTGTGTGCAGCGATTTGCACAAGCATCCTCTTTCTCCGACCCATCTCCACTGCCTCTGTTTGGCCCTCTTCATTCACTGACACCCTGATCGCATCACCAATCACTTTAAAATCTTCAGTTGCTTCCCACTGCTTTTAGGATAAAATTCAGACTGAGCTTGGCCTACCAGGCCCTTTCCTGTCTACCCCCGCCTCCCCCCTTAGCCTCGCTCCTTTCTACTACTCACGTTAGAATCATCACGCAATGCCTGCAGTTCCTAAGCTCACCATGCTCTCTCTTCCCTCCATGCCTGATGCCTTTTCAACCTCACTTGATTGTCTCTCCTTCCTAATTTGGCTGATTCAAGATTTGTCTCAAGTATCACCTCCCCCAGGAAGCCTTCCCTGCAGCCCAGTCCAGGCCAGAGTTCCCATGGCACCCAGTGTGTAACTCTGCCCTGCCGCACGGAAACTGCTCACATCTGATTCTCATTATTTGACTGTGAGTTCCCTGAGGTGGGGACGATGTCTCTAATCTTGTTATTTCCATTACCTAGCACAGTGCCTGGCACAATAAATACCCGGTGAAGGAATGAATGAATAAAAAGGAGAAGAACAGAACTTGATGACTTCCTGAGAGGGTCTCAGAAAAGAAAGAATCAAAAATCACCCGTAGGTTGGAATCTGACCCATCAGGGGGAATGGTGGTTTCATTCATATAAATAGGGAATTCAGGACGGAAAGCTAATTTCGAAGGTCAAGAGAGCAACCTTGATTTAAATATGAACTGACTGAACTGATTTAAATATGGTATTTTTCAGATGTGTGTGTCCAGATGGATTTACTAGGAAAAACAAAGCGAGAGAGAATAACAGAGGACTTATAAGGTATCTGAACAAGCTATAATCAAGAAAGTCAACCTCTGGATATGGTCTTGACATGTCTGAACCGAGAATGCAAAAAGACACGAGTGAACAATATATGGCTATTCCCAGACAGAGAGGATACAAAATGAGATTATCTCACCGACAGTGGTGGTGCCGAGTTCGTCCAAGATACTCTTCGCCAGACTCTGTGTCTCCCTCATCAGCTGAGATATGATGTATTTAAAGCTGTTGGTGGTCCACGATTCCACTTTCCTGAAATCTAGAGGCACCGAAGGAAAATGAGTATTTTTCAGGAAGAACACATCTTAGTTCAAAGTAGCCACTTCCAAACCTTTCTCTGCCTTTGTCACTTCTCCATTAACACCTGAGACCCCCAGCTCACAGGCAGGTAGTCTAAACGATACAACAAATGCTCACCGACCTTGCAACAGCTCCCTAGCGCTTAACACACTGATTCTACCATCTCTGGGTCTAATCCGACTTCTCACTCTGGTTTCGCTGCCACTCAACACAGCCTCTGCCCTGACGAGGCTGATATCTATCTCGTCTCTGCACAGGCCACATTTTTAATCCTGTCTCTGTTCTTTGATCTTCTCCCTTCCCACCCACCCCAAGGAGTGTTCACGATGTTCCTAGCATTCATTATTTGGTTGTTTCAGCAGAAACTTATTAATCGTCTACCATGTGCCATGTCCTGGTTAGAGACAGTCGAAAAGAACACACTCCTGCTCCAGAGTGTTCTTAGGGGTGAGAAAGACATATAGCCAATCACCACAATGGAGTGCTGTCATGTAAGTGTGTGCAAGGAGTCACGGAGCACGGGGAAAGCACTCTCCAAATCTTCTAGGGGAGGCAGTGTTGTGGGGTAAATAGGGGAAGATGCGAGGAGGAAGCGAGTGCAGTCACGTACAAAGAACACTGTGAACAAAAGCTGAGAGAGGGAAAGCGCATGACTCATTTGGGGAGCGCAGAGGAACACAACATGGTGGGTTTACGGGAGGCAGAAGGAGATGCAGCTCAGAGGGTGGGAGGGACCGGATTATAAAGAAATTTGCACGTGATATTAAAAAGTTTAGAGTGAGTGCCTTCTCTAAACTCCTTAGAGGCAGCTCCCACGAGGGACCTTAACTGACTCCTCTCTGACAATTTCATGTGTCTTGTTCTGCCCCATACTTGTATGCTATTCAGACAGCAAGGGCAAAGTCATACGCATCTTCTGTATCCTTCTCTCCCTTGCCGGGTTAGTATAGCATTGGTATTCAATAAACATTTATTAGTTGATCTTATTTTAAAAAATCATATTCTGATCTTTTCAGGAAAGATATGATAATTTCAGGTAATTTCACATCAACCAAAATTATCAGATACATATTCAAATAGTGAATGTCTACACAGTATCTTCCTCAGGCCTGGAACACAGGGAAGGGCTGAGCCACCTCTGTGCTTAGAGTTTCTCCTCACCTCTCTCTCAGTGCTGGTCCCCGTATAAGAGTTTAGGGAACTGAAGACTAAGAATGTTTGCTTTCTACAGGTCACTCCTGAGGTTCACTCATGGCTTGGGGAGAGAGCTCAGCTGGGGAGAGAGGCTGGAAATGTGATTATTTCCCAACTTTGGGGTTCAATGTTTTCTACTAAACAGAGAAAGGGTAAAACTTCAGTGTTCATCTGAATGGCTCTGAACTAGGAACAGCAGAGGTTAACAAAGCCCCAAAGCCTTGTTATGAAGCCCACTTACCCTTCTCAGGCTTATAAACAACTTCCGTCAGCTCCTGCAGGTTCTCTTTGACGGTTGAGATCACTGACGTGTCAAGAGATGCGCACAGTTTGCAGATATATTCCATGGCTTCAGCTGTGTTCTTTGCATCTCCAACACCAACGGACGCCGTCAGCCCAACGACCTTTGAGGAGCATCCCAGAGCGTTAGATGTCCGGGAAACAGCATGACATGCCCACAACCCCTCGTGTAACTCTTTCCTGCTAAAGTTGATTTCTTGACTAACTTCAGATAAAGAGCAAAAACATCATTTTTTCCCCTGACATTCTCTATGACATTGCCAGTGGGAAGGTCCCCATCAGGCAAAGCACTGAATAAATGCAGTAGTCACAATTCATCAGATGAACACAAATCAGCACAGAAACCGGAGGCAGAAACCCTTCCAAGGCACTTCTCTCTTCTCTACTCTTGTGACCCCCAGGATACATAGAACAACATACTGAAAAGGAAAAGCACTGAAATCAGACATACTCCCATCCAATCTCAGCCATGTCGCACTGGCTGTGTGTCCTTGGACAAGTCTCTTCAGCTCTCTGTAAAGTTGAGGAACAGCTATTGCAAGTGGCAGCTGTATGAGTTCAGTAAGATAACGTTTGTAAAGAATTTAGTTGAATGGTCACCTAATAAATATTTATTTCTTCCTTTGGAAGCCACTCAATAAATACTGAATGATTGACTCAGCAGCAAGGAATCTAGTTAACTACCAATTTTATTCCAGAAGAAAAAGCTGTAAGAAATGTGATTGCTACTGAATTTTGTCTACGGGCACCATACTGAAGTTCTTCTAACCTGTGCTTCCTAAGCAGGTAATTATTAAGGCTAGAGAACTTTACACAAATGTGAGACTGGTATACTATAAATTCCTGGCTTCCAACCTCAGTTGGGCATCAATATTACCAAGCGATTCTTCTGTGTATTCCTCTCAGTTCTCTCTCCCGTTTCAAATCCTCTCCACGCACCCTGAGCTCCCTCCTCCATTCCCGTCTTGATTATTCTCAGCAAATGATCTATCTACCTCTCCTATGTTCAAGAGAAAAGAGAAGTTATATGCCAGGGATTCCCTACCCTTCCTGCCCCATGTATGAACTACTCTCTGTCTTGATTCTTCTCACCCCCTTGCCTCTGAGGACACCAAAAACGGTGTTCCATCTGCTCTCCCATATGACTCCATCTAGCCCTTGCCTGCTGATCTCATACCCTCTGGTCTCCCCTGGCATCTTGTTCTGTCAGTCATTCCCTCTCTCCCATCCTGCCTCACCTACTGCTATTCACTGCTTCACACTCTGCACCCAGGTGATATTGAAGAGCTTCAAGATCCTTGAGTACAATATACCCCTGTGCCTCTGGACACACAGTAACCTTTACTGAAAACCATCCAGCTATCTGCCTTGTAAACTCTTCTTAGTTTTTGCCTAACCCCACTTCTGTTAGGTCTGGTCTTACTTTTACAGCACACTTAGGAGCTCTTTCATTTGTGTTCCAACTGCACCTCATACCCATCTTCATAGCGTGCCATCACGATAAACTGTGACATAATTCTTACAGACCTGGCTGCGCATAAGACTCAAGCTGTTTGAGGGCAAGGACTATGTCTTTTCATATTTGTATCCCTGGCGCCTAGCACAGGGCATGACATATGGAGGCATCTAATATGTGTTTATAAGTGAATAAATGAATGAATTAATCAATGAGTCGTACAGTATGGATCTAGGACCTGAGAAGGACATCTTCAACATGGACACAAGGGTAAGTAAATAGGATTTAGGAAAGTTACAGCTCTCCTGAGGAATCCATCTGACTTGGGAGTTACCTGGGGCAGCAGATCTGAAGATCCTCCAAGTTTCTGATCTAGATAATTAAACATGATCATATTGTAAGGATGGTGTTTACTGGTGTTGTGGCATTCATCAAATATCATCAAAGTGAAGACAGAGAGTGATGGAATCGTCCCACTCTTAAGGCTGTTCACAAGAATCTGTGGAGTTAAAATGATGATGTCATTGTTCTCAACAATCTGTTCCACTGAGACATTCTCAGATGTTTCTCCAGAAATGCCTGCGACTTTGTACCTGGAAAATGACAGAAACTCCCTATTACCAACCACGCTGTGAATGAGGAACCAGAAAGATTGGAAATACCAGGCGATTAAGTTCTCCCTAAGTCCAAAAGGAATACATCTGAAGACAAGTTAAGTGCTTAGCACAGAGCCGGACACACGGTAAGTAATCAATAAATGCAAACTCATTTTAATTGTCAGTAGTAGATATTAATTCTTTCAAGCCACCAAGAAAGAAAATAGTACTTAAAGAGTAGTATTAAATAAATTATAAAATCATGAAAAGGTGCCATTTAAATGTAAAACTTATCTCAAGTCATTTACTCACTCTACAAGAGCTAACCAAAGCAGTTTAGGATTTCAGGGATATCTAACAAAAAAGATCTGAATCCATGAAGGAATTACATCTAGATTATATAAAAGCTGAATCTCTTTTAAATTTTTTGAATCACGGTTTTCCAAAAACAAAACAAAGCAGAAAACACAGTTACATGAAGCTAGAGAAAGAGAAGGTGGACCAATTGTCATACCTACCCACGTCTTTCAAAATAGTTTGAGAACACAGATTTCTGCTGTTCATACACTGGGACTTGAATAGCGAAAAAGACCACCTTCCCCTTCTGTCCTTGCGGAAATTTTTTAAGATGATGTTCACATATAAGAAGTGAAACAAAGGTTTTTCCACAACCTTTTAACATACAAAGAGAAAGAAAACATATAACTAATATTATACTAAAATATTCCTGTATAAAGGTAATTATTTTTGGATCCCCTAAAACCACCGTGCTGACTAGTCAATCGGTAATGTGGAGGGGTTAACAACTGCAGAATTTACACTACGACTCAAAAATATCCAGCTCCTTTCCAGGTAACATGCACTCAGACAGCCAGAGCCTGAAGCAAGCTAAGGAGGGCATTTGTCTTTCCCTCCTCATAGTCCTTAAAAACCCTTCAGACTATGTTGACAGGGTGGTTTTCTCAAAAGACAAATGGAATAAAGAAAAACCTGAAACTTGCCCATTTTGTCCCAGTGTTCAATAAAAGTAAAAAAGGAGGAGCAAACAGAGAAATAATCTATATAATAATAGCAATCGGCTTACCAGTAGGAGCACATATGATTGTGTTTTTTCCCTCCTTAGCAGGCAAAGCGAGTTCTAGTTGGTAATTTCTTGGCTTCAATGGGCTGTAAGTATGAGACACTTCTGTAACACAAACGGAACAACCAAACAGTTACTGTCCTGAGGAATCAAGGTAATAGCTGTTGTCAAACAGACAGGAATTCTGATTCTAGCATGAAAGGCCTCGTTTAAGAAAGTTTGGAATCCTTGTCTCTTATTAACCATTCCAGCTTCTCCACTGATTGGAAGTACAGAATTCTTCCCCAGTGACAAAGTACCAGTGGCAAGAAGGAAAAAACATCCCACAGAGATTTCTTTCTTAAACAACCATGGAAGCCCCGTTAGGAGGAACTAAAGCAAGAATAGGCTAATTCAGGGCAAGGGAGATGGCCACCAGTTAAAGGAAATGCTATTCAAAACAAAACAACAACAAACCCCTCCAAGATCTTTGAAAAACACTGAACTGTAAACACTGAACTTCCAAAGCGGTCTCTCATTGAGGAGCAACCCTGCTTTGTAATTCTGCAGGCTCTCACATGGTATTTCCTCTCAAGAGAAACAGAAGTTAAAAAAACTAATTGGAGGCTTCATCACACTAACAGATACACACAGAGAATGCTAAGAGCTGGACAAGACCTTGGAAATCATCCCCTGAGTCCAACCTATCCACTTTAAAGAAAAGGAGAATTTCTGAAAGGTTAAGTGACTTCACTAAGGATCTCCACACATCAGAAAAATTTAAAGTAAGTACAATCATTGATTTTATTCCAGAATGACAACACTCTTGTATCATTCAGTTGTGGAAGTAATCTGTAAATTTCCTTCTTATGGTGTTATCCTCAGATCACATCTTCCTCCTAACACTGCTCATTATTAATCCTAACTTCTTCCCTGATGCCCTTTTATAAGTAGCTTTTTACTATGGCTTACTCTGCAACTTTCTGGTCTCCTCATGAAAACATGCTTCTAGAAACATAAGGCAGGCCTTATAGGACCACAGCTAACGTACACAGTGCCTTTGCGTGAATTAGAGAAAGCAGGCTCTCTTGGAGGACACAGCTCCTCCACGCACTGCTGGGCAGACGGCACAGGCTGGATCTCAGCTGGCACACCTGGGCAGTGCACAAACTTAATCAACTTACAGCGCAGCCCGGGATCTTAAAATGCCTTTCTTTGTGACTCACAAAGAGTAGAAATATTTCTTTAGAAAGCTGGGCTGATGGGCCGGCCCTGTGGCTTAGCGGTTAAGTGCACGCGCTTCGCTGCTAGCGGCCCGGGTTCGGATCCCGGGCACGCGCCGCTTCTCCGGCCATGCTGAGGCCGCGTCCCACATACAGCAAGTAGAAGGATGTGCAGCTATGACATACAACTATCTGCTGGGGCTTTGGGGGGAAAAAAATAAATAAATAAAATCTTTTAAAAAAAAAAAAAAAAGAAAGCTGGGCTGATTTTGGATTTCATAGACTTTGAACTTCTGGGAGGACTCTATTTGCAGACACTTGCACACTTAGACATGCACATATGTTCTTAGTGATAAAAGAAGAAGATAAAAGTTAGGAAGAAGAAGCTGACAATAACTATGGAAGGGAGAGAATGACATTTCTAATTATAGAAAAAGTATCTATTTTAATATAAATTCTCTTTTCTTAATACTCCTTAAAAACCTTTTCGTAAGGCTGTGACTTTTGGCGCTGCAAAACACGTACCCCCCACAAAATACCTAAAGAGCACCATTACAGAAAACAACAAACAGTGCCGGGTACCTGAAGGTGGACTTGAATTCTGACTAAGATTCTGGTAGTCTGGCTCCTCCTTGTAGAAAATCTGTATGTCAGAAGTTTCCATTTCCTCATTCTCAAGATCTTCAGGTTCAACACCTTTTGAACCTTTATGGGACCAAAAAACATCTTAGAATCGTTACATAATCTGGTTACAGTCTTGATGGTGAAAGCCTACAAAGAGGTCATAATACTAAACTTTTAAACTTCCATTAACATTTCTCACAACCACTTCCTTCACCTTTTAAAACAATTTAATGAAGCTTTTTGCGTTTGAAATCTCAGTTTGGAGTTTGAACTCCAATGTTGTTTAGGACTTTACTATTCCAAGTGTGGAACACGGACCAGCAACTTCCTCAGCTTGTTAGAAATGCAGACTTCTGAGCCCCTACTGAATCAGACTCTGCAGTTGAACAAGATCCTCAGGGGACTCTCATGCACTCTAAAGAAGAGAAGCACCCTTCAGCAGACGTTCATGTCTTCCATTCCTGATCTGACCCAAGAAATCAGATGTGTATTTATACAGACAACTTCTGGAACAACTTGTGATCTAAAGAAGCATAGGAAAAGCTAAGACCAGACACACGGTTTACCAAACTCAGCCTACAACAATGCTCTGAGATGTTAGCTTCAGGAAGCCAAATGATGGTTCAGATACTTCATTACAACAGATTCTTTTTTTCAATTCTGTTCCGGTTCAGATGGCTTCCAAGCAAGAGAACCAGGCAATGTCTACCATAAGTCTACTCTGAAAAGGGGGTGAGTCCTGGAGTTTGAACCTTTAACTCTAGAACTTTCAAGCTATTTCTCTGATAATCTAAACCCAGGAAGCAAGCTCAGACTCTACCTTCCCCAGATCCTTTGGGCCAGATGGACTAATTCTGGATGAGAGCAGTTTGCCCTGGTCCATTTTTAGAGGTTATATACAACCAAACTACTTCTGTAGGCAAGTAGCCACTTGCCTCCCAGAACGCAATTTCAGGCTGGTCTCTCACTAGAGATGTAGCCATGGGGATCTGAAGGGAAAAATGCCTCTGGCAGTGAGTGAAAACAGGTGGGAATAAAGGAAGCCCTAAGGCGAACTCTGAGGAAGGCAGAGCACATTTTCAGACCCTCCCATCCTTCACAGCTCTCTCTTGGAACAACCTACCTTGCTCTACAAGCCACAGCTCACTGAACTTGCTCTCTTCTTTCTCCAAAGCAAGTTTCAAAGTTTTGGGCCAGTTCTCCTTGTCTGATCTGAGAAGGCATTCAACCATTTTCTCTGCACCTGCCATCAGCCCCTTGTTGGAACAAACCTAAGCAAGACAACTACAGTTGATTGGCCAATTATTTCAAAAGTTTTCCTTTTATGAGTTTTTACTGAAGAAATATCAATTCAAGTACTATCTGATTTAAAATCATCATATGCTATGGTTCAAAAGGTCTTTTTCATGACCATTTTTGCCCCACCCAACACCATCTTTTAAGATACCTTTCCTTCATCCTTGTCCTCCACACATGATATCACTATTTCAAGCCAGGCCTTCTCACCTCCTCTGAGATCTTATATCTATCATCATCAGCAATATTAGGAAGACAGTTAATCCATCTGACAACCATTCAAAACACAGGCATATTGGCATAGAGAGATATTTGGAAGGATATAACAAAATATTAACAAATGGTTTTTTCAGGGTAGTGGGACTTACATGACATCTATTATTAATCATAATAACTAAAATTTATTAATCACTTATTATTATGTGCCAAGCATATGGAGGTACTTTATATATATTATCTCATTTAATCTCTATAAAAATATCATATTAATAAGGTACTACTATTATTTCCATTTTACACACAAAGAAACTGAGGCTTAGAGAAACTAAGTAGCTTGTCTAAGATCACACCACTAGTAAGTGGGCAAGCTGGGATTCTAACAAAATTTGTGTCCAGAGCTTGAACACTTAACCACGAGAGTCTATAGCCTTTTTATTTATTTGCTAAACTGTTTGATTTTATTTAGATTTGCATAAAACATTATTCACAAATGTAATAAAATAATTTCAACTGAAAATAAGGCAAACCTGAAAAAAACTTGTGACACAAAAAGTTCTCAGATTACAACTAAAAGTACTAGTCTAGGTAATAATGCCTTAGACTTGAGGACTTTTGTGGATTTCGATGATCTTCCTCAGGGCTAAAAGAGCACAGAAAACAGAAAACATTTCCCATGTGTAAGTCATTTCCCCCTAGTCCAGTATTTTATATTAATTAAATTACCTGTATAATTTCTTCACATTCCTGATTAATTAAACATTCAGATATTTCAGGAAGGATATCTTTCGGATTAATTCTGGTTTTAAATTCTGGTTGTAAACGCCTTAAAAGTGCTCTATGCTCCTCCAACTTTTCCATTTTTTGGAAATCCCAACTTTCAATGGCTTCATAAAGTCCAGAATAACCTGAAAAGAAAGAAGAAAATGGGGGGCTTTTATGAGACCAACTAAAAAATACTTCGAGATTAATAACATAGGAATCATCGTTGAACGTAAAGTGAAAGAACTCAAAAAATATCTGTAAATCACCTCAATTATTAATAATCTTTTAAAAAGAAAACTCAGTCCTCATCTTAGGCACCCAACATTTTAGGTCCTCTAACGATGTGTATCATCTCTTAGGAGAAAGTACTAAGGATAAATCTGAAGTCTTATACTAGGTCTTAGTATAAAATCTTCCGTCCAAAGTGCCCCATGGAGTTCCCCTACAAGCCTGATGTGTCTTTCAATGAGTCAAATCATTGTGTTATTAAGTATCTTCTCAGTGCAAAGCAGTAAAGAGGGCAAGAAGAAATATAAATCTTAACTCCTGCCCCTCAGGAGCTTACCTTCTACATTTTTCCAACAAAAGAATATTAAGTATAATGGGAAATTAGAGGAGGAAAAAAATTATTTCCAACTGTAATAATCCAAGAATGCTTCACTCTAAAGTTCTCTAACAGAATCACCAGGGTTGTCTGACTGTAAGGCCACACTCGTATCATTAGGCTATAAAGAGCACAGCAACAGAATGAACACATGTGAACCACTACCGAACTTAAGAACTAGAATATTCCAATACTACTGTGGGTGCATAACTCCTCTTTCCCACCCTTCTACCTCCCTGCAAAGATATCACTATCCTGTATTTGATGGATCAGTTTCTTGATTTTTTTTTTAATTTTTTAAAAATCTGTCTCTAATTCTTTTTTTTAGCATATTTTTGTATTTGTTTGTTTGAAACAGAATCCAAACAAGTTCCACATGCATTTGTTCTTTCGTTTCATATGCCCTTCTTTCTTTCTTTTTTTTTTTTAGGGGAGGAAGATTGGCTCTGAGCTAACATCTATTGTCAATCTTCCTCATTTTGCTTGAGGAAGATTGTCCCTGAGCTAACATCTGTGCCAATCTTCCTCCATTTTGTGTGTGGGTCACCACCACAGCATGGCTTGATGAGCGGTGTGTAGGTCCATGCCCGGGATCTGAGCCTGTGAACCCCAGGCCGCCGAAGTGGAGCACGTGAACCTAACCACTATGCCACTGGGCCAGCTGGGCCAGCCCTTGATTTTTTTGAATAGTTGTACGGCCTATGTCTGATTCTCTAAAGAATGTATGTTTAGTTTAGTTTGTTTGGAACTTTATAATTATATCCTAGGAAATGTAATTTTCTCTGACTTTTTTAAAAGTTTAATATTATATTTCTAAACTTCACCTGTGTTGTTGTGTGTAGCTGAGTTCATCAATTTTCAATGCAGTATAATGGACCATTGTGTGCATATTATAAAATGCATGTATCCATTCTCCTCTTGAAGGATGTTGGAGTTGCTTCCAGTTTTGTTTGTAAGCTTGCTTGTTTTAGTTATTACAAACAATTACATTACAAACATTCTTGTATGTGTATTCTGGAATATATGTGTAAGAGTTTTTCTAGGGGACATACTTAAGAGTGAAACTGCTGGACAGGATACATGAGTGTTGAACCATATAAGATGATGCCAAATTGTTTTTCAAAATAGTTGTATCAATTTACACTTTCTATAGTGATATTTAAGATTTCCCATTATTAAATATCCTCTTCAAGCCTTAACACTGTTGGACTTCTTAAGTTTTGCTATCTAGTAGTTAAAAAAAAATGGTGGTCTAGTGGTGAAGATTCAGTGCTCTCACTGCCACGGTCCACATTCATTTCGGGTCAGGGGACCACACCACCCATCTGTCAGTTGTCATACTGTGGCGGCTGTCTGTTGCTGTGATGCTGAAAGCTATGCCACCAGTATTTCAAATACCAGCAGGGTCACCCACTGTGGACAGGTTTCAGGGGAGCTTCAAGACTAAGACAGACTAGGAAGAAGGACCTGGCCACCCACTTCTGAAAAAACTGGCCATGAAAACCCTACAAATAGCAGCAGAGCATTATCTGATATAGCACAGCAAGGTGAGAGGATGGTGCGGATTCCGGGCAGGGTTCCCACTTTGCTGTCCACAGGGTCACTAGGAGTTCTAATTGACTCCGAAGCACTATTCCCTAATTGCTAACTGGGCCCGGAATCTTTGCATATGTTAATTTATTAACCTTTCGTGCATCCTACTCTTTGAAGTGTCAGTTCACATCTTTTGCCCTGTGGATGGTTTCTTTCTTTTTCTAATTGATTTTAAAGCCTTTCTAATATATTCTGGATACTAATTCTTTGGTGATTATATATTTTGCAAACATCCTCTCCCACTTTGTGACATGTTTTTTCACTTTCTTTATAGTGTGTGTTGATAAACAGACATTCTTAATTTTAATGTCATCAAATTTATCAAGCTTTCTTTTATGGTTAATGCTTTAATGTCTTCTTTCATAAATTCTGCCATCCCCAAGCTAATAAAAATATTATTCTACATTTTTTTCTAAAATTGTTAAAATTTTGCCTTTTAGAATTGTCTTTAATGCTTTTGAATTCATTTTGTGTATATATGTGAATACAATGAGGTAAGAAATATAAATTTATTTGTATCCACATAGATATGAAAGTCAGGATTTGTTTGGTTTTTAACATCCTGTTTAGGTTATCCTGTTTATAATGGCCCATTGCAATTTATCAAAAAGCCCCTCCTTTCCCAGTGTTCTCTAATATATCAGGTTTCCATAAATATATGAGTCTAATTGAAGGGTCTCTATTCTATTTCATTGGTCAGTTTGTTGATGCCGGACGAACGTTACACTGTCTCAACGCCTATAGCTTTATAATAAATCTTGATATCTAGAAAGGGAAACTTCAGTCTACTTGATTCTTCTTCTTTAGGGATGTCTTGACTATTCTCGGGTCACAATTCTTCCATATACATTTTACGATCAGCTTGTCAAGCTCATGAAAAAGCATATAGGATTTTTATTAGAATTGTATTGACTATATAGATCACTGTAGGGAGAGCCGACATTTTGATGATATCAAGTCTTCTTCTCCAGGTGCATGGGCATATATCTCCACTTAGATAGGACTTCTTTAATATCTTTCTATAACATTTTATCATTTTCTCCATTCAGACTTTACACATCTTTGGCTAGGAATATTCCAAAATACATTACAACTTTTGTTACTATTATAAATGGTGCTTCATTTTGGATTACATTTTCTATTTGCTTACAGTGGGTAGAATTACAACCAATTTTTGTATACTGATCTTACGTCCAATAAACTTGCTAAACTCTCCCATTAGTTACAATAATCTCTCTGTTGATTCCTTTGGATATTTCAGGTAGACAATTATATCATCTGCCTGAAAATAGTCTTTACATTGCCTCAGATTAAGATGAACTACATGTGGAGACCTCAAAATTAACAGATCTCACTTTTATAGCATTCTGAAACAGACAAATAATATACTCTCATTTGTGAGTAAGAAGAACGAACTAACCTGCTTGGGCAAGGGCGTCCAAAAAGCCACGGAACCAGCCTTCCTCCTGGAGCTCCAACAGGAACCTAAGAAAGAGTGAGGCAGCCTCCATCGTGCCTCTATTGTTTTTCTCAGCCTGAATACACTGCACCATATCTACAAACAGAAGCAAGAGTGACTCATCAAACTGCAGAACCACCAATCATTGGAAGAAAAACCTGAAAAGGGTTGTCAGACCTTCTCAGATGGGGGTGGGGATTATAAGAAATCACAACAATGGAAGGAATGGCAGGAAGGCAGCGAATTCTCTGCCCAGGCAGACTGCGCCCGTCCCACCATCCCAGCCTCTCTGGAAACTTCTCCTAGTTTGGTATGGAAGTCTGGGAACATGCTCTACAGTTTTCTTAAGGCAGTCCTTAAGAAAAGGAGTTTCTTAAAGATGTTTGGAAAACTGTCCCCACAACAAGAGAGAAGTCATGGTAGCACTGGGTGAGATGGAAGAACAAAGCCTTCCTCCAACATTTTCATAGGCTCTTGTTCAAAAGTCTAAATTAACTGCAAGACTAAAAGAGCGTGAGGAGAGAACCATTCCACGGCATCAGTAACAATTACAGTAGACTCAGCAAGCAGACTTAGAGATAGAGATACTTCCATGGTCCTTTTTCCAGGTTTTTGCTAAAAGGGTAGGAAATATGGCAGAAAAGAGAAAGAAAGAGGTGCTAAAGAGAAACAGTGTGGCTAGGTAGCAGAAAACTATCCACCAACCTGCTGGTGGCCATACTGGCTTCATACACTAACTCCATGTCTGCGGTAGAGACCAGACTGCTGCCTTTATATGACTTGACATTTGGTAATTTTTCATATTTTTTCCCCATTGTCAACGGAATGTAAATTTCAAGGGAGTCAGCCAGTTGTCTGGCTGGTTAACCACTGTATTCTCAGAGATTAGAAGAGGACCCAGCACACGACCGACACTCAACAAAGGTATGGTGAATGAATGAAAGAAAGGAAGAAATGCTTTCCTTCTCTGCCAAGGTCTCTGTCTTGGCAACAGTAAAAGTAACCCTTTTAAAGTGTAAAATTCACTGCTTTTTAGAGTTTTGAATCCATCATCACTATCTAATTTTAGTACATTTTCATTACAGTAAAAAGAAATCTTGTACCCATTAGCAGTCACTCCCCATCCCTCTCTGCTTACCCCAAGGCAACCACTAATCCACTTGGGTCTCTATGGATTTGCCTATTTTGGACGTTTCATATGAAAGGAATCATACAATATGTGGTCTGTATGACTGGGTTCTTTCACTTAGCACAATGTTTTCAAGGTTCATCCATATTGCAGCATGTATCATTCATTCCTTTTTTTTTTTGCTGAATAATATTCCATTGTATGGATACACCACATTTTGTCTATCCATTCATTAGTTAATGGGTATTTAGGTTGGCAAATTAATAAACAGAAACCATTAAATTGGAGGCAGGAGGCCAAAAGGGAAAGCTCTCATCACCTAGGATGAGGGCAGAGCCCAACAGGAAGAAGAAAGACTTCCTCTTCTTGACGGGCAAGAAGCTCAGCCAATCAGAGACTGCCACAGCTCAGCCAGTGAAAAGCCACTACGCCTGGCACTCTTTGCTCACAATAGCCCTCCCAACTTCCTCTTCCCCTCTATAAAAGAGCTTCTCCTCCCTTGCTGCTCCAGGACTTGCATGTGGCTTGCCATGGTTGCAGACCCCAAACTGCAGCTCTTTGTTGATCCCAAATAAACTCATTTTTGCAGGAGAAATATCTGGCTGTGTATTTGTTTAAAGTCAACAAGGTTGCTTCCACATTTTGGCTATTATAAACAGTAATGCTGTGAACTTTCATGTACAAGTTTTTGTGTGGACATATGTATTCATTTCTCTTGAGTACACATCTAGGTGTGAGATTGCTGGGTCATAGGTAACTCCATGTTGAACACTGTAAGGAACTGTCAAACTGCTGTCCAAAAGAGCTGCACCATTTTACATTCCCGCCAGCAATTTATGAGCATTCCAATTTCTACATATTCTTGTCAACACTTCTTACTGTCTGTCTTTTTAGTTTTAGCCATCTATATTAGTTTCCTGTGGCTGCAATAACAAATTAGCACAAACTAGGTGGCTTAAAACAATAGAAACTTGGGGGCCGGCCCAGTGGTGTAGCAGTTAAGCACACATACTCCGCTGCGGCAGCCCGGGGTTCGCAGGTTCGGATCCCGGGCGCACACCGACGCACCGCTTGTCAAGCTGTGCTGTGGCGGTGTCCCATATAACGTAGAGGACGATGGGCACGGATGTTAGCCCAGGGCCAATCTTCCTCAGCAAAAAGAGGAGGATTGGCAACAGATGTTAGCTCAGGACTAATCTTCCTCCCCCCCCCAAAAAAAGAAACTTATTCTTTCATGGTTCTAGAGGACACAAGTCTGAAATCAAGGTGTTAGCAGGGCCACACTTCCTCCAAAGGCTCTAGGGGACAATACATTCCCTGCCCCTTCCAGCTCCTGGTGCCTCTTAGCATTCCTTGGCTTGTGGCCACATCACTCCAGTCTCTGCCTCTGTCTTCACATGGCATTCTCTTTGTCTCTCTGTCTTCGCATGGCATTCTCTTTGTCTCTCTGTCTTCTTATGAGGACACCAATCACCTTTGATTAGGAGCCCACCCTACTCCAGTATAACCTCATCTTAACTAATGACCTCTGTAAAGATCCCATTTCCAAATAAGGTCATATTCTGAGGTATGGGGGTTAGGACTTCAACATATCTTTTGGGGGGGATGCAATTCAACCCATAACAGCAATCAATCTTGTCACCTATCCCAGCTTCCCTGGGCACATAATCCTTTGAGTTATTCCTGTTGCTAAACCAGTCCTTCCAGCTAGGTTCTTCCTCCCAGGCCTTCCTGCTGTTTGTTCTTCCCTCAGACATGCTACCAGTCCACATGGAGGTCCAGATGGGTCCCAGTCACAGCTGAGACCTTCCCAGGTAAACTGCCTTGCCGTATCCCGGGCAATTCAGGTTTACTTTGTACCTTGTCGGGCCCATCCTGCTGCTACCCGGCCCCAGTATCTGCTGCAACTAAGCAGTGCAACTTTCCTCAAAAGCCCTGGGAATTCAATGCAGGGAAAATCTCATTTTGGGGCGGTCAGTATTTCCCGCTGCCTTTGTCATCCTCGCCACTCTGACGCCATCCTCAGCTCCCAAGGCAGAATTTCTTGATCTGTTTTCTGTGCTTTCTCGGCCTCTTTACATGCCTCTGACTAGAGCACTGACACTGCCTAGTACATAGTAATTGTCTGAGGGTCTGTCTTCTCCCTTAGACTGCGACCATGGACATGCTGTATTCAGCTTTGTCATCTTTGTATTCTAATCATCAACAAAGTGCCTGGCTCACGCCTGTGTGCAGAAAATGTTACTGACGGAATGGATAAATAACTCAGAATACTGCTTACACAGCAGATTAGGATAATGGTTGGCCTCCAGGATAAGGGTTGGCCTTTGACACCAAAGGGATATTGCAAAATTATCTATAGGCCACACCCAGGTGTACCTTGAAACATCCTCGATAATATGTGAATAAGCAAAGCCCAGTGACCATGCGAGCACAGAGCTTCCATGCTCCTTTCCCAAGATACAGCTAGTGCACAATATCCACCATGTGGAGAGAAGGATTACAGTAAAAGAGGCATTGGGTATTGCTAGTGTCATTTACACATATCGGTGTATTTGTGTGTGTTTGCGTGGGGAATGTACGGGCATAATGAGAGCATGGATAGGCTCCCACTGCCTTCTGAGGGCAAAATATGAGTCCAAAAGTTTATATGCATCCACAACACTGCTCCCTGTCTCTGCTCCCTGACTGAATCGTGATTGAAAGAATATACTTGTCACAATTATGGTTAACGAATAGAATCCAGAGCTTCCAAAGCAGCCAAGAAAAAAATAGACAATACAGAAACTTTACCAATCTAACAGAAAACAGAAAAATGAGGAGAAAGCAAAAAGTTTATGAATACATGTGTATGTGATAAAACATAAAGAAATGAACAGGAAAGATATAAACCAATTAAATGACAACAGATGCCTCTGGGGAGGGGCTTGAAATAAAATTTTTATGTCATCTTTAACATTCAAAAGTAAGACAATATTACACATACCGTTCTTCAACTTGCTTGTTTTATTTACCTTCTGGTATTTTTATTGATTGCATTATAACTATAAATTAAAACTCATACATATATTACAAACTATCCCACCTCTGCCCTCCCATAGCACACTATGGTTTTCCATCAAAGCACTCACCACCCTTTACTATCTACTGTTTATTCAGGTACCCGCCTTCACACATGCACTCCAGTCTCTACCAGGGCAGGGACCATTTCTATCGCGCTCTCCACTGACTCCTCAGTTCCTAACACAATGCTTCCTATTAGATAATACGTGTAGTGATATGTGTACATTATCTCCACCACAAGCACAATGCCCGACACATCTGAGTGGCTTGTTTACTAAATCAATACACGAGTGCATGAAAGAATGGGATTCACACCAGTTTGTTCGTGTCTCACTCATTCCAAGGATTTCTAAGAGACGTCTTGCACAGGCTTACGTTCTTCAGGGGCCGAGCGACGCTGTGGCCATCGGGAAGTTATTGTGGTCCTTCCCTCTGAGCACAGCTAGAAGGTGGAGGTCCACTTGTGTGGCTGGGATTCTTTCACTCACCGCTCCACAGCCTGTGGTTGGGTTTTACAGAGCAATTAGCACTCAAGTTACCTGTCTGCTATAAGGCAATTTCCAAAAACTGCTTCACATCAGGAAAGATATGTAGGTACCTGGAGTCTGAAAAGGAACTGACAGATCCCCTCTCTCATCTCAACTCCTTCCAGGCACCACCTCCCTTCTCTTTCCCCAAAGCCTTCGCTCATCTCCAGCACAAAGCACTTCAATACAAACCTACAAAATGGCCATTATCCATCACCAAGTGTCTCAAAAGCTAGATGGAAACCCCTGAACTGACCTAAAACCACTCAGTCCAGGGAGTCTTGCTCCCCTCCAGTCCCCAGTTATTCGGAAGTACAAGTAGGACCCGCAGAGGATGCATCACCTTCCTTGGAGCTCTGCCAGCATACTGTAATCATTTGTGCACATCTGTCCTCCCTCATCTCCCACACCCAAAACCTTGGGCTCAAAAGCATTTTAAGGAAGGGCCTGTATCTTATTTCTGAATTGCTGATGTCAGCACAAAGCCCAACACAGTAGACGGAACTCGTAGTAGAAACAGGTGAAATGGACACGATTTGATTCCCCAGCTTGGAACCTACACAAATGTCCACTCCTAAGCAAGTCACTTCACCTCGCTGGGACTCAGTTTCCCCATCTGGGCCTCCACTGGCTCCTCAAACTCTGACAGCTCTAGTCTAAAATGCTGGGGGGATCTTGCCACAAACCCGCGTTCCTGGCAGGCTACCCGTACTGATTAAAAAAGAGGAAAAAAGCAAGGGGAAAGCAAGTCTTGATTTGTCTCCCTGCCCAGGGGCAGGGGCCGCAGGGGACCACTCACCGTCCCTCAACCAGGGGGCCATGTAGCTCAGGATGTGGGTGGGGTCCAGGGTCTTCCTGACATAGTCCTGGAAGGCGTGCAGGTTCCGGCGCTGCTCGGCCGTCATTGCGGTGGCTCGGCTCCCCGCGAGGGCCCCGCTGCGCCCGCGCCGCGCTCCCTTTAAAGGCGGCGGGAGGCGGGAGGGACTTGCGGGGAAACGGACCCCGCGCCCGGAGGAGGAGCTGCCGGGGAACCTTCGCTGGGGAGGAAAAATCGAAACTGCAACCAGCGGCGGCGCAGCGCGCAGGCTCCCCGGCCGCGCCTCCCGCGGTTTCCTCCACCCCCCCGCGGCCGGATTTCCAGCCCTGCGCGGGCGCCGACCCCGGGGGACCCAAGCGGACCCCTGGGCATTGTTTTGTGGTTTTCATTTTGTTTTACTTTTTGTTTTGCTTTTATAGCGGTGAAGTTTAGATACAATAAAATGCACAGATTTTAATTAAACGTACAATTCCATGAGTTTCGAAAAATGTATAGGGGTGTAACCACTTGCCCCAGGTGTGTGGGTCCTATGGAAAGTGCATGTTTAACTTCACAGAAACTGCCACCTGTTTTCCAAAATGGCCATACCATTTTGCATTCCCACCCAGACTGTAAGAGAGCTCCAGGAGACACACGTCCAGTAAATACACACTGGTCAGTTTGTTTGTTTCTTTGCCGTCTTGGTCGGTGTGAAATGGTGTGTTATTGTGGTTTTAATTTTGATTCCCCAATTAATTAATGATGTTGGGCACATTTGCATGTACTTATTGGCCATTCATAGATCTTTCGTGAAGCAGCTGCTCCAATCTTTTGCCTGCTTAAGTTGGTTCTCTTTGTATTATAGATTTACCAGCTTTTTATTTTTTCTGGATACAAGCCCATTGTCAAATATATAAACTCTAAATATCTTCTCTCAATCTGTGACTTACCATTTCATTTTCTTAAAGGTGTCTCGAGCAGTTTATTTTGGTGGGATCTAATTTATCAGTTTTTTCTTTTGTTTTCTGCTTTTTGTGTCCTCTGATAAATGTTTGCCTACTCCAAGGTCATGAGGGTGTTGTGTTTTCCTTTAGGGTCTTTGTGTTTTTAGCTTTTACGTTTAGGCCTATGATCATCTCAATTTTGTTGTAGTGTGAAGTAGAGGTCAAGGTTTCATTATTTCCATACTTATAATTGTTGCAGCACAAATTGTTTCATTTGTTGAAAACTCTTCCTTCTCCCATCAAATAGCTTTGACATCTTTGTCAAAAAATCTATTGACTGTATGTGTACAGGTCTATTTCTAACTCGACTGTGTTCCATTTATCTATGTGCTGATACTGCTTTACTCTTCTCTGTAAAGATTGTATTGGCTATTCCAGGATCTCTGCATTTCACTGTGGAATAAGAATCAACTTGTCAATTCCTACAAAACAAAAAGTGCCTATTGGGATTTTGCTCAGGATTGCATTGAACCTATAGAGGAACGTGGGAAGAACTGACATCTTAACAATACTGAGTCTTTGAATCCATGAACGTGTCTTTTCATTTATTTAGGTCTTCCTTAATTTCTCTCAGCAATATTTCATAGTTTTTAGAGTACAGGTCTTATATACATGTCTGTTAAATTATTAACTATTTTATGTTCTTTGATGTTACTGTAAATGGAATTGTTTTTAAAGTTTCATTTTCAAACTGTTTGTTACTAGTTTCATTTTCAAATTGTACAGAAACACAACTGATTTTTGCTTCTTGACCTGGTATTATGCAACACTGCTAAATTCTCTTATTAGTTCTAGTAATTGTTCTGTAGATTCCCTAAATTTTTCTAGTTTAACAATCGTGTCATTTGTGGAACACATGATTTTTACTTCTTCCTTTCTAATCTTTGCCTTTCGTTTCCTTTCCTTCTTGTACCCCCTATGGCCTTCAACAGAAAATTGAATCAAGTGCCAAGAGTTGACACCCTGACCTTATTACTAATCTCAGCAGGCAAACGATCAATGTTTTACTTTAATTACAATGTTGGCTGTAGGTTTTTCTTAGATGCCCTTTATCAGATTGATGTTCTCTTTTTTTCCTGGTTTGCTCAGAGTTTTTATCCTGAAGGGGTGTTGAATTTTTCAAACGTTGTTTTCTCCATCTATTGAGGTGATCATATATTCTGTTAATATACTGAATTTCATTGACTGATTTTTGAATATTGAACCAACCTAGAATTCATGGAATAAATCCCATTTGGTCATGATGTAGCATCCTTTTTTATATATTTCCGGATTCAATTTACTAATATTTTTGTATCAATGTTCATAGGGATATTGGTCTGTAATTTTCTTTTCTTATAATGTCAGGGTTATACTGGCCTCATGAGACAAGAGTTTGTGTAAGGCTGATATCATTTCTTCCTTAAATGTTTAACAGAATCCACCAATGAAAACATTTGGGCTTGGAGTTTTCTTTGTTTGAAATTGTTTATATTGATTCCATTTCTTTACTAGATATAAGGCTATTCTGATTTTTTATTTCATCCTGAATCAGTTTTGGTAAGTTGTGCTTTTCAAGGAATTTCACCATTTCCTCTAAATTATTAAATTTATTGGCATAAAGTTGTTCATGATACTTATTATCCTTTTACCTTTTTAAAAAACCAGTCTTGCCAAGGATTTACCAACTTTATTTATCTTTTAAGAAAACCAACTTTGGGGCCGGCCCCGTGGCTTGGCGGTTGAGTGCGCGTGCTCTGCTGCTGGCGGCCCGGGGTTCAGATCCCGGGAGCGCACCAACGCACCACTTCTCCCGCCATGCTGAGGCCGCGTCCCACATACAGCAACTAGAAGGATGTGCAGCTATGACATACAACTATCTACTGGGGCTTTAGGGGGAAAAAATAAATAAATTAAAAAAACCAACTTTGGCTTTGATAGCTTTTTATTGTTATTCTATTTCACTCATTTCTGCTCTAATTATTATTCTTTTCTCCTACTTCCTTTGGGCTTAATTTGCTCTTCTTTTACTAGTTTGTTAAGGTAGAAGTTTAGATCACTGATTCTATACATTTTTCTTTTCCAATATAAGCATTTGAGGCTATAAATGTCCCTTTTCCCAGCTGAGTTCTAACATCCCACCAACTTTGATATATTGTTTTCAATGTCATTCCATTTGAAAGTTTCTAATATCCTTGTGATTTCTTCTTTAACCTATGAGTTATTTAGAAGTGTGCTGTTTATTTTTCAAATATTGGGTATTTCCTAAACATCTTAGTGTTATTGACTTATTTTAATCTGTTATGATCAGAGAGCATATGTTGTAAGATTTCAATCTTTTGCAATTTATTGAAACTTGTTTTATGGCCCAGATATGGACTATCTTGTATATGTTCTAGACACACTTAAGAAGAGGGTGTATTCTGCAGTTTTGGGGTGTAATGTTCTATAAATGTCAGTTATGTCAGGTTGGTTTATAGTGTGGTTCAAGTCTCCTATATCCTTACTAATTGTTCTGTCAAGTACTGAGAGGGGGTGTTAAAATCTCCAACTGTGATTATGGATTTGTTTATTTGTCCCTTTTGTTCTATCAGTTTTTGCTTCATCGAGTTTGTAGCTCTCTTATTAGATGCATACACATTTAGGATTGTTATGTTTTCCTGATAAATTATGTCTTTCATCATTATGAAATGTCTTTTTGTCTCTGTTGATACTTGTTATGTCAAAGTCTACTTCCATGTGATACTACTATACCCATAACAGCTGTCTTATGCTTACTGTTTGCCTGGTGTATCTTTTTCCATCCTATTGCTTTCAACTTCTCTGTTAATATTTAAAGTGCACCTCCAGAATACAGCTTATAGTTGGGTCTTCTTTTTATCCAGTCTGACAATCTCTGCCTTTTAACTGGAGCATTAAATCTATTTACATTTAACTATTGATATGGGTTTAAAACTACAATTTTGCTGTTTGTTGCATCCAATTTTGTTCCCTTGCTCCTCTATTCCTTTGATTTGGGTTAATCAAATATATTTTTATCACTTGTAGCTATGATTCTTTGTATTCTTTTAGCTATATATCTCTCTCTCGAGATATATATGTAGTGGTTGCTCTATGGATTATAATATGTATCCTTACGTTATATCAATCTACTTTAGAATTAATATTATACCACATCAGGTAAAATATAAGATCCTTGCAACCACGTAATTCCATCTACGCCAGCCCATCCTTTGTGCTACTGTTGTCATATTTTTACTTCTCTATATGTTATAAACCACATAATATTTTTTTATTGTAAAAAGTCAGTTGTCTGTCAAGAAAATTATAGTCTTTTCTATTTTCCATTTCTGACGCTATTCATTCCCATTTGTAGGTACTGGCTTCCATCTGACGTCATTTCCCTTCTGGCTTCTCCAATATATTGTTAAGCTTTCTGTGAATTTTTCATTTCAAATACTGTTTTTAAAAGTTCTAAGATTTCCGTTGGTTCTTGTTCTACTTTCCATTTCTCAGAGAACCTCCATCTGTTCATTCATTATAACCATCTTTTCTTTAAGTTCATGTACCTATTTCTAACAGTGTCTTTAAAGTCCTTGATAATGTGAATTATCTCACAATATGTTTTTGTAACTGCTTCTTCTCTTGACTTTGGGTTCCTTCATATGTCTAGTCATTTTTTATTTTATGCTGGACGTTATAGATATGCTATAGAATCTCTGGATTCTATTATTTTACTCTCGGGAGTGTTGCTTTTTGTTCTAGCATGCTAACTTACCAGCTACTCATTTTTAACTCATAGAGGCTTTGTTTTACACACTGAGGTGGGTCTCTTTCAGTTTTGCCCTTAATGCAAGGTGAATCCCTTAGTCCTGGGTCATAGTCTTTTCTGCTAAGGTGTGGTCCTCCAGGGGTTTCAATGAAAAGCCCTGCATGTTTCCCCTGCCCTTCTAAGCTGGTGGGACTCAGACTCCAAATTCTGTCTTCCCTGTGGTGGCAGCTGAGATACTTGTTGAGCTCTTTCAGCCTTCCAGCTGTGGCTTAACTGGGATCCTAGGAGTCTCCCCCTGCATGTACTCATTTCAAGGTCAGCTAAGGATTTCAGTGAAGATTATATACAAATTTTTGGGCTCCCCCTTTGTGTTTCCTTTCTTTCTGAAATTTCCCCCTCAATACAGTCA